ATTTATTTCAAAACCCCCTTCCCCTCCCCCTTTTCTGATGAAGGGTCTAGGCCCGAAACGTCAGCCTCTCTGCTCCTATGATGCTGCTTGGCCTGCTGTGTTCATCCAGCCCTGCACCTGAGTTCTGAAGAAATGTCTGCTTTCTCTCCACAGATGCTGTCAGACCTCCTGAGTTTTTACAGCAACTTTTGTTTTTGTTTCTGATTTCCAGCATCCGCGGTTCTTTGTTTTTTTCTTGTTTAGTGAATGTGCTGTGATTTGCCCACCCTCATACGTGTCATGTGGAGGTTAATATTGAGGCAAAGCTTGTGCAGTCTTGAAAATTGGCCCCTGTGCATGATTCAGTTGTTCATATTAATATATTTATTTTAAAAATCAGGTTTCTTTATATCACTTGTACATTAACAAGCAAATATCGGTAACTATATACCTAAGGAATGCAAGGAAATGTTAGAATTATTGCCAGTCTTTTCTTTCTCTTCCCATAGTTGGGAATAGAACTTGAGAAAAGAGCTTTCATTTTGTCTGTTCCCTGTTGACTTGGAACAAATCTGAAATTGTAGTGCTCCAGCCTGTCCCTCTGCCCCACTATCCCCTCCACCCAAGTCACCCCTAAATCTCTGTGGTGCATCCAAAGTAACTCTGGTTTCATACATGAACTGATGGCAGGAACACAAAACTGCTATGACATTGGGGTGGACTTTCCTTCCAAAATTCTCAGCCCTCATGTTTTGCTTGGAACAAAGTGGGATAAGTTGGGCCCTTAAAACAAATCACCCATTTATGTGAGATTGCAAGAACTGCAGGTGCTGGAGTCAGAGATAACACAGTGTGGAGCTGGAGGAACACAGCAGGTCAGGCAGCATCAGATGAACAGGAAAACTGACGTTTTGGGTTGGGACCCTTCTTCAGAAAAAAAGACGAAGGGTATGCAGGATCCCGACCCAAAACGATAACTTTCCTGTTCCTCTGATGCTACCTGGCCTGCTGCGTTCCTCCAGCTTCACACTGTGTTATCACCCATTTATGTCTTTCTTCCTCTGCCCACACCTCCCTCTGCCATTGATGGTAAATACTTGCTCCGTAAAATGTAAATGTTGATAAGAATAGTAATGCTTGTGCTCCAGCCAATTTCCTCATCCTCCTCCTTCAACCTCTCAACGGTGAGACTGAAAAGTACAATCACTTACACCCTTTCCCAAACCCTCCAAACACTTGTTTGACTGTTGGGCTCATTTAGAGTTCATTCAAAAGTATTTCAGGATCAATTTTTCTTTCTTTTTTAACTACTTGTGCTCCCTCAGAACCATTTCATCTTATTTCAGAGACTATGATAGCAGCTTCCTGTTCCCTGGGTAATGATGCACTCTATCTGGAGAGCAGGCACCTGCAAAGCTGACCAAAGGAAGTAATGCAAGACACAGCAGGATCATTCTTGGGCAGAAATCGTGCTGTTTTGATCCTTTTGCAGTGGTGATATGTTACCTGTCTTAAAATAGTCATTTTTATTGCAATTTTAAATTTTTACTAACAAATATCTTTGCCCACCAGGTTTTCCCTCCTCTGTAATATTCCACCAAACTAGTCACATTTTATATCCAATTTTCTTACCTTAACTTTTACTTTATAACTACTTCAGGTATGTAGAGCAGGTGCTAAATGAGTCAGGTTTCATGGATTGAATTGAACTATTATCCTTGAGGTTTCTTTGTGTTTTGCTCATTTTCATCAACCATTCTCGTAAATTCTGGAGGTTGAAGTCATGCTGAAAGAAATTAATACTTGACTTGCTTACAGCTGTCTCTGTAGCCGACCACTCCAAAGTTTCATTCAATTTTTCTGCATGTTAGCCTATAAGCATTTTAATGAAAGGTGCTGATCAGTACTGACTCCAGCAGCCCAATAAGGCTTACCCAAAGTACAGTAAATGTTAATTCTAAAAAGCTAACACTGAACGTAGCATCCTCAAAGGAAACTTTGTTAGCTTCTATCATCTTTATAACGATGTTATGGATCAAAGCTTTCTTTATACCAGCTCAATAGGTGTTTAACCTGTAATTATTGGAGGGAAATTTTAACAGAACCAGAAAAATTATTTTCCACCATTGCTCAAACATTTAGAGTTTCAGCCTTTAGCCAAGGTTGTAAAATAACCACATTGTTCACTGAACATGGTACCTTACTTTTCAAATACGCATCAGTATTTCCTTTGCTTCTATAAGGTTCTAAGTGAGCTTGAATCAGCCCGTTCTGAAATAGAGCTCTTAAGAAACCAACTTTCAAGTGAAAGAACTTCAATAAAAAATCTGGAATCTTTGTTGGCTTCTAATCGGGAGAAAAAGTTCCAAAGCCAGATGGTCACTCAAGAGAAAGAGACTGAAATTCAGCTCTTCAAAGATAAGCTTTCCTTAGCTGATAGCAAACTGTAAGTACTACATTTATACATGCTTTTTCCTCATTGTCTGCATATGTAACAGCTCAGCTTTTTGATGATTGGAATATCTTCTATTAAATGAGTTTTCCTGATAAACTTCACACTATGCAACTCAGTTTTTCTTTCACCAATATGATTAGCTCAGTGAAAAAATGCAGTGTAAGTCAATGTCAGATATGGTGCTTCTAGTCACTTATGGAAAGTGAAAGGACAGGTGCAAATTGGTGGAATTAATGGTAAACACTATATATATATATATGTGAATTACTGCTTTGTAATTTAGTTGGATTATCCTTGGGAATCAGTAGACACCATCACAAGTAGTACAGCAGATTGTCATTTAGCCCAGTGGATGTTTCCTCTAATAGGGCAATCTAGAACAAAAGGTAATTAGGCTAAGGGATGGCAGACTTAAAAACCGAGATAATGAGGAATTACTTCTCTCAAAGGGTCGTGCATCTGTGGAAATCACTACCCAAAAATGTGGTGGACGCATGGACACTGAATAAATTTAAGGAGGAGATGGACAGATTTTAATTAGTAGCTGGTTAAAGGGTTGTAGACATAAGGCAGGAAGGTGGAGTTGAGGCCAAGATGAGATCAGCCATGATCGTGTTTAATGGCAGAGCAGGCTCAAAGGGATGAATTGCTTACTCCTGCTCCTAGTTGTCATAGAATCATAGAATCTCTACAGTGTGAAAACAAGCCATTCAGCCCATTGAGTCTACACTGACCCTCCAAAGAGCATCCGACCCAGACCCATTCCACCCCTGCACCTCCCATGGCTAATCCACCTAAACTGCTCATCCCTGGACACCATGGACAATTTAGCACGGCCAATCCACCTAACCTGCACACCTTTGGATTGTGGGAGGAAACTGGAGCATCCAGAGCACCCACTTATGGTGGTGATTATGCCAGAATAGATAACCACTTCGATCCATTTCCCTTTGCCTTCGCTTTTTTTTGTTTTCCAGTAACAACATTGGAAAAATCGTTGCCCAAAAGCGGTAATCTTCGCCGGAATACAGCCGGCTAAGCAGAAAGACAAGGAAAGTGAAAGGAATTATGTTAATGTAGGTCGTACCTGCACTGACTTTAAAACAATTTCGCAATGGGATCTGCCTTTCTCGGATTCTAAATCTGCTTGCCATTCTTCTAACTGTTTCTTTCCAACTATTTATTTTGTATTCCTCAGAGTAATAAATAAAAATGAGTCTCTTAATTCTTTTGGAGGTGATCTTAAAAGTGTTATGCTCTCAGAGAAGCATTAACATTACTTAAACATTTTTGTGCCAACTTAAAAAAAGAACTTTTTTTTAGTAATAGAGTATCGTGGTCACCTGTTCCCTGTCAAAAATAAGGGGTTGAACGAAAGAACGTACTTTTGAATAGAGTCTCACCTCATTTGTCAAATACACAAATCAATTTACATACAATAAGTTACTTCCAAATGTCGTTGTAATGTGAAATATTAGCAACCTCCACTTTATGTAAGCAACTTGCTTCTATAAAGCAAGCATTCCAAGGCATTGGCCCAGATAGCAATCAGGTAAAATTGATCCAAAGAATGACATATCTGGATAGGTGACTGACAGCTTGGGCAAAGAGATAGGCTTTAAGGAGCATCCTACAGGCATGGATATTTAGGTAGGAAATTATAAAGTTTACAACTTAAGTGTTCGAAGGAGGAATGACAAGAGAGTGAAAGAAGTGGGAGACACACAGGACACTAATGGAGGATCATGTGGGTTATAGATTCATGCAAGTTACAGAGATAGAAGTGCAAGACTATGAAAGAAGTATTTGAGTATAAGGAGGAGGGCATTGGATAATTATTTGGGTAGAAATGGTGTGCAAAGGTATAGGGAAAAGGCAGGCGATTGGCACAAGGTAATAGAATTGATGCAGGTATGAAGGGCTAAATGGCCTCTTTATGTGCCATAATAATTCTGAGATTTTCTGTGATTTTGTGAATTCTATCATTAAAATGATGGTGGACCAGAAGCTGGCATTGAAGTGATGGTTTACTGAACTCAGTGCAAGCTGGAATAAGGTTTAGAAAAGCTTAAATTTAAGGCATGGAGAAAATGGGTAATCAACCAAGAGAATTGGAATGAGTCTGAAGGAAGCAAATGCATGGGAAGTAGATTGTCCAAGACTCAGGTGTTGGTGGGCAATGTTATAGATGAAATTCTCACTGTAACAGAAAAGTGAGGTTAGAAATTGAGCCCATGGTGATCCCTATTTCTGAGTGTATAGTTCAATTTTCTTTATACTTTATTACATTGCTGCACAGTAGTTGACTACATTAAAACATCATATTCAACTTCATTTTTGTGTTTCAACACCATTCATGGATTCGGTATATCAACCCTTTTGTGCTCCTATGTGCAGTGCATAACATTTGTTATTCCTTTACAAAGATGAGCTTGACCACTGTAATTTTCTAACAAAGAAAATATTTTTCCCCTTCAATGTGTTTCGTTATCCTTGTGAAAATTGCAACTCTGCTTGGATACAATTCCATATGCAAGTGGTCATTTTTCATCTTGGAACCTGGGCAGTGGGCCATTCAGCTCATCACAGGGATCTCAGTCTTGCCTGCTTTTAGACATCAACACTCAATGCACTTTTCAGCAGAAGTCATTAATGATCATGCTGATTTATTGATTCTCAACCACCCAACTGTTTCCCATTGGACAGTCTTTCTACTCTGCAAATCAGGGAGGTCATCAAAGGCCAGATGGTGATCATGATTGGTGGGTTTTGCATGGCACCACACCATGAGAGAAAGATATCATCATTGAAGTTAGGTGCTAAAAGTAATTTTCAGATCACAAATATATATCATTAGTTCTCTCACTTGTGGAGGTAGTTTATTTATTTAAAAAGTAATCAGGATGCTGCTGAAGCACTACAGAAGTTAAATGCACAAGGCTAAGAGAAAGCCACAAGCAAAGATTGTTGTAAAATTTGGAACAGGCACACTAGGCTTCTGAATGATGCCGTTGTAATCAAAGTAGCTTATCTTCTCTAATCTATATAGATGGGGCCAAATTTTCCTGAGACATTCCACCAAGTCTGTGGTATTTTCAGTGGTATGCTTCTTGAACTATTGTAATTCTACGTGACATTCCAGATTCAAATGCAAGGCATCAGCAAATATTTTAACATCTTTGTGGCAGCCACTAATGATGGGCAGCTTTGAAGCAAGTGATTTATAGAGCATAGTACTGTATCTTACTGCACTGATAATTACATGCACAAATCTACTGCTGCTTTATTTTGAGATTGTGATGTCACAGTTTGACCACATTGACATACATCAATTCATCATTAATACTTAGACAAAATCTGATATTCAAATGTGCCTTCCAGTAACTCAGCTACCAAAAGTGTTTTATTGATGTTACACAACAAGAAGAAACTACCTGGCCCACAACCGGGTTACTCATTTCCTGTTTCTTTGAGTTTTTTCAAATCCCAAATACTCTTTGACAGCAATTAGTTAAGAACTCCAGTTTAACATCCTTGTTCCTGAATGTCGTACTCATGGCTTATTATATATATTTTTGTTTGACAGGGCATCTCAAGCCCGTGAAATTTCTCAGCTGAGGAGCAAGGCAGCAATGCTTGAAACAGAGCTAGATATGGCAAAGCGTCAATTAGGTACTGAGCGATTTGAAAGGCAAGTGTATGTTATCGTTTTATTTTGCACACGTATGATGGTTTTTAACCTTTTTTTAAGCATTGATTTTGTAATTAGTTGTCCCACATTAAACAATGTTCCATTGTGCATATCAACCAGATTATACTTCCTGCACAAGAAAGATGCTGCAATTTCAAATATATGGGCAACCCATCTATCATTTTAAACAGACATGTGTGCTGCAGCAGCAAGCATATTCACAGACTACACTGCAGCAACTCGCTGATAATCTTTCAACAGCACATACCAAACCCCTGACTTCGGCTGGCGTTGGAAATGCAGGCCCTTTTATGGATAAACCAGAACAGCTTCAGAATTGAGAGCAGATAATGCTCATTAGCCTTTGAAGAAAACCAGCAGGCTCCCCCACCTTCTCCTCCACTCCATATTAATTTAGATCCCTCCCTACCCGTTTTTCTTTTGTTGCTGTTACACTGCCCCTTGTAGGTAATGCTTGTAACTTGTGATTTTAACTGGTCGTGTGGGTGAGTTGACGGTGGTTTAATTAGGGAAGAAAACTAGGTTCCCTTTGAAAGATCTTATGGTGCAGTAGCAGTGTCCCTGAAATAGTGACCCTTCTCTGGCAGAAGGCCCAGGTTCAAGACCCACCTGCTCTAGAGGTTTGTAATAATATCTCTGAACAGGTTGATTAGCTTCCTACTGCCTCAGGTTGGTGGTGCTAGTAATTTGTTAATTGTTTAAGTAGTCAAATAGGTGATTTTATGGTTTTAAAAAAACTGCCCGTGCCGAGTTGCGTTTGTTACGTAATTATACTATGGCTTTAAGAGATGCATTTGGTCCTTTTTTTTATGAGGAAAGGTTGAGATAGAGCTGTCAAGCAGTCTGCTTCAAAGCCCATAAAGTAAACAGCTTGTGAGGCCTCGGGGTTTTTTTCCTCTAAATTCGGAACAATAGAAGCAGCCTGAATGTGTGGGGTTAAGCTCCCACAAAACCAGGATTTTTAGTTTTAGTTTTTTTAGTGACAATTGCTGGGTCTTGAAGCTACAGCACATCTCTCCCTGCTACCCTCTCTCTTAAGTTTTCTCTGTTTTTTTTTCCTTCTGGACTGGAGACTTGCCTGTGAAACAATCTATTTTACTGAATTTGCCTTTGCGAAGGGTGTATTTATGGAATGTTACTACGTTGGAACAGTTGCGGTTTAGTAGCTAAATAATCTACTATTCTGTTAAGATTTCTAATAGAGTTAAGTTCTAATTAAGTTTTTCCAATTTCTTCTTTCTTTTGTTGTATTTTAACTATAGTGTCTGAATAAAGTGTGCTTTGCTTCAAGACAGGGAGTTTGACTAATTGAATTGCATTCAGAATGCAACACCTGGCATTTGCCTTTAAAATACGAAAAAGTTAGAGTTTAGGCTATCTTCTTAATCTACTTTGAGGGGGTTTGGTCTGGTCTATAAATAAATATTCAAGTGTTTTAGTTGTGGGTTTTTCAAAATAAAGCAAAAGAACTGACTTCCTCCCCCAGTCAACTCCATTTTAATTTAATCTCCTTCCTTCTCAACTCTCCCCTTTAGTTATTGTTGCTCTGCCCTGGTACTTGCTAATTGGTATTTTAGTGACGCGGGTGACTTGGTGGTGAGTTATACAAAAAGCAAGTGGCTTCCAGCGGTGGGCAGTACGGGCTGGGGTGCATTATTCCCCCTCAACTCCATTTTAATTTAAACTCTTCCTTCTCTTCCTACTATTCCAGTAATGTTTTTGTTATTATTGCATTGCCCCTGGTGGGCTGTGCTTCTTAATTGAAAAACAAATGCTGGAGATCACTGGGTTAGACAGCATCCATGCAGAGAGAGAGCAAGCTAATGTTTTGAGTCTAGATGACCCTTCATCAGAACTGATGTGAAGTCTGGAGAGGACAGCATTTATCATATAGTTTGGGTGGAGGGGGGATGGGGGGGATGTGGGGCTAGTGTGCTGGTGGAGAAGAGATGTTGATAGTTCAGATTAATTGACCGGAACGTGAGAATGGCAGAACAATGGTGTGTCTCCTGCCAGATGCGAAAAGACAGTAACTTGGATGGGGGGAGGGGAGGACATGACAACAAGCTAAAAGACAAGGAAGAAATGGTTCACAATTTAAAGGTGCTGAATTCAGTATTAAGCCCAGAAGTCTGTAAAGTGCGTAGTCTGAAGATGAGATAGTAAGAACTACTGATGCTGGCGTCTGAGATAACACAGTGTGGAGCTGGAGGAACACAGGTTTTCTGAAGAATTTTCTGAAGAAGGGTCCCGACCCGAAACAACAGCTTTCCTGCTCCTCTGATGCTGCATGGCCTTGCTGTGTTCCTCCAGCTCCAGACTGTGTAGTCTGAAGATGAGATGTTTTCCTCCAGTTTGCGCTGTGATTCACTGGAACACTATAGTATGCCGAGGGCAGACAATGTGGACATGTGAGCAGAACGCTGTGTTAAAATAACCGGTTACAGGAAGGTTGGGGTCATGCTTGTGCATAGACCAGAGGTGTTCTGCAAAGTGGTCACCCAGTCTGCCTTTCGCAGGGATTGTTCCCTCCGAAACACTCTGGTCCGTTTCATAACCACCACCTCCATCCCTCCTCTCCACAGCACTGTGTAACCGCAGAAGGTGCAACACCTGTCCCTTCACCACCTCCTTGCTCACTATCCAAGGGCCTAAACTGTCTTTCCAGGTGAAGCAGTATTTCACCTGTACCTCCTCCAATCTTTGTACTATATTCGCCTACTCTACATTGGAGAAACCAGATGCAGACTGGGTGACTGTTTTGCAGAATACCTCCAGTCTGCGCAGGCAGGACCCTGACCTTTCCTGTAAAATTGACTGCCAGAGGTGGGCACCACAGGGACTAGAGTGCATTATCTCCCCTCCAATTCCACGGTGATTTGATCTCTCTTTCTCTACCCTTCACTTTTTTTATTGTCACACTGGTGAATTGCGCTTGTTAATTGTTAGTTGTTTAGTTGTCTTGATTAGCTAATTTGGGTCTATAAAAAATGAGCATCATAGGTCTTAAAAATTTAAGAAATATTTTGAATATGTCGGCTCAGATTGAGCATTTCCTCTGATAGGAAAGAATGAAACTAGAGGCCAACAATATAAGGCAGTCACCAAAAAAATCAAATGGAATTCAGAAGAAATGTCTTTATATACAATGTTGAGAATGTGAAACTCAGTACCTCGGGTATGGTTGAGGTGAATAGTATAAATACATCTAAATGGAAGCAATCTATGCATCTGCAATGAAGGAGAACTTTATGCTGATGGCTAGACGTGGAAGGCTAGAATGATGTTTGAGAGAAGCATAAACATAGGAAAGGCTGGTTAGGCTGAATGACCTGTTTCTGTATATGCCACGCAATTTTATGTAAAACCTCCTGAGGGTGCTAGATTCTAAAGTGTTTGTATTAACTTGAACAGTTCAATGATTTTACAATGGAACATTGCTGTGTGGCCTCCAGTTTCTTTGATAATGGGAACATAAATCCAATGAGAAATGATGGTACAATGGAAGCATTAAGGGCTGTGCTTTCTTTGCTAACTAAACGCACGCCATATTTACTTTTACAGAGAATGTGCTGTGCAGGAGCTTCGGCGACACGGCCCCTCTTACCGTACTACGTCACCACCTCAACCTACTTTAAGTCCAGTTTCACATTCACCGGAACGTTCGAGCCGTCGCTCTCCTGATTGTACCCTAAACAGATCACTGAACAGGTATCTTTCGATACATGCATTCATCAATATCACTTGAGAGTGTAGCTTAATCAAAATTTTTAAAAATTTAGGAATCCAGAAAGTAGTTCTCATCTGATCTGCTTTGTTCATGTATAAATAATCATAGATTTCAGTGAAGTATCTGGACAAGTTATATTGATCATCAGTATATGCTAAGAAAGAACACTTTTGAAAGCAGTTCACTGTCAGTCCATTTAATCAAACCATTCCAAATCTCCTATCAGGTTCCAAATATTGTACGTTGTTTATAAATTTGTTTCTTGCATATTGTAGACAGAGTTCATCTATTGTTGTAGCTAACTACTTGTAGTAAATACGAATGTGTAGTGTTTTGAAAGATATCAAGTTGGCATTCCTTTTTTTTAGTCAAGTTACCGTACTGCAGGTTCAGAACTGACAATGTGGTTTAAAAAAAAATATAGGTTACCCAGATTATAAAAAGAGGAGTAGAATATAATAGATTGTGTTAGAATTTTATAAATCACTGGTTAGACCTCAGTTGGTGTGTTGATGAGTCTAGGAAAGATGTAAAGATCTTAGAAAGGATACAAAGGTTGCTTATCCAGATGTTGCCAGGACTGAGCAATCTCCGTTCTAAAGAGGGGCTGGAAAGCAGGGGTATAAAAAACTGTAGGTGCTGGAAATCTGAACAAAACAATTGCTGGAGAAACTCAGCAAGTCTGACAGCATCTGTAGAAAAACTGACAACATTACGAGTACAGTGATCCTTCGTCAGCACTAAAAATAGCTGAGAAAGGGCAGTATTTATGCTGCGGATGAGGTGGAGGAACGGGAATGAATAACATATGGAGACAGTGCCCAGAAAGAGAGAGAAAAGAGTTAGGAAACAAAGAGATAGTGGGAACTGCTGATGCTGGAGAATCTGAGATAACAAGGTGTAGAGCTGGATGAACACAGCAGGCCAAGCAGCATCAGAGGAGCAGGAAAGCTGACGTACTTTGATATCTTTCAAAACACTACACATTCATATTTACTACAAATAGTTAGCTACAACAGTAGATGAACTGTGTCCACAGTATGCAAGAAACAAATTTATAACCAACGTACAATATTTGGAACTTGATAGGAGATTTGGAATGGTTTGATTAAATAGACTGACAGGAAAGCAACGTCAGCTTTCCTGCTCCTCTGATGCTGCTTGGCCTGCTGTGTTCATCCAGTTCTACACCTTGTTATCTCAGGAAACAAAAAGATTGCTTGTGAAAGAGTGAGAGAGAAATGCTGGTTGGGGTGCGAATGAGAAGTGTAAATGGTTGAAAATGGGTTAGCTGTGCTGGGAGCAACCCATACAAAACAGGACCTAGAGGTGCGGGGTATGTAACAAACATGGAGGAAGATAGAGATAACAAGGTGCAGAGCTGGATGAACACAGCAGGCCAAGCAGCATCAGAGGAGCAGGAAGGCTGACATTTCAGGCCAAGACCCTTCTTCAGAAAAGAGGAGGAAGATATTCATGTTCTGAAATTGTTAAACTCAATGTTGAATCCTGAAGGCTGTAAGATACTGGGCACAAGATGAGCTGTTGTTTCTCAAGCTTACATTGAGTTTTGCTGGAGCACTGCAACAGGCCTGAAATGTTGCCATTGAAAACATGGTGGTGTGTTGAAGTGACAGACAACGGGAAGCTTGAGGTAATTTTTATGGACAGAGTGTAGGTATTTGCCAAAGCAATTACACAGTTTGCATTTTGTTTCCCAACTGGAGAGGAGAGCACATTGTCAGCAATAAATACACTAAACTAGATAGAGGTGCAGGTAAATCTCTGCTTCACTTGGAAGGCATGTCTGGGGCTTCAGATGGGATTTAAATGGGTAATAGAACATAGAACAGTACAGCACAGTACAGGCCCTTCGGCCCACGATGTTGTGCCGAACTTTTACCTTAATCCTAAGGTCTATCTAACCTCCACCCCTACCTTATACTATCATCCATATGCCTATCTAATAGCTGCTTAAATGCCCCTAATGAGGCTGACTCCACTACTCTCTCCGGCAATGCATTCTACGCCCTGACCACTCTCTGAATAAAGAACCTACCTCTGATGTGTCCCCTATATCTACCTCCACTCACTTTAAAACTATGTCCCCTCGTAATACCTGCCTCCACCCTAGGAAAAAGTCTCTGGCTGTCCACTCTATCTATACCTCTGATCATTTTGTACACCTCTAACAAGTCACCTCTCATCCTTCGTTGTTCTAAAGAGAAAAGCCCCAGCTCTCTCAACCCTTCCTCGTACGACCTTCCCTCCATTCCAGGCAACATCCTGGTAAATCTCCTCTGCACCTTTTCCAACGCTTCCACATCTTTCCTGTAATGAGGCGACCAGAACTGGACACAATACTCCAGATGTGGCGGAACCAGGCTTTTGTATAGCTGGAGCATAACTTCACGGCTCTTGAACTCAATCCCTCTTTTAATGAAAGCTAACACACCATACGCCGCCTTAGCAACTCTATCCACCTGGGTGGCAGCTTTCAGGGAACTGTGGACATGAACCCCAAGATCCCTCTGCTCCTCCACACTGCCAAGAATCTTTCCATTAACCTTGTATTCTGCTTTCAAGTTTGTCCTTCCAAAATGAATCACCTCACACTTTTCAGGGTTAAACTCCATCTGCCACTTCTCAGCCCAGCTCTGCATCCTATCAATGTCCTTTTGTAACCTAGAACAGCTCTCTGCACTGTCCACAACGTGACCCACCTTTGTATCATCCGCAAACTTACTAATCCACCCTTCCACTCCTTCATCCAAATCATTTACAAAAATCACAAATAGAAGATCCTTGTGGTACACCACTCGTAACTGAGCATCATGTTGAATATTTTCCGTCCACTACCACCCTTTGTCTTCTAAGGGTCAGCCAATTCTGAATCCAATCTGCCACATTTCCGCCTATCCCATGCCTCCTTATCTTCTGCAAGAACCTACCATGGGGATCCTTATCAAACGCCTTACTTAAATTCATGTATACCACATCCACTGCTCTACCTTCATCCACGTGTTTGGTCACCTCTTCAAAGAATTCAATAAGGTTTGTGAGGCATGATCTACCCTTCACAAATCCATGCTGACTATCACGAATCAAACTGTGCCTTTTCAAGTGATCGTAAATCCTATCTCTCAGAGCCCTTTCCAATAATTTGCCCGCGAGTGTTGCATCTTTTGTGATTGCATGGGTAGGTGATGTGGGGCTATGGGGAGGTGTTGGGAGTGGAGGAGGAGTGGACCAGGGAGTCTCAGAGGGAACAGTCCCTGCAGAATACTGACAAGTACTGATAGGGGAAAGGAAGAGGATGTTGTCTGATGGTTGCATCCAGCTGGAGGTGACGGAAATGGCAGTTTATCCTTCTTTGAAGAGGGAGGCAGATGGTGGGGTAAGTGAGGATCATGGGGACCCTATCATCATTGGAGGAGAGGAGAGGGGAGGGGAGGGGTGAGGGTGGCAAGTGTGGGAGACAGGTCGGACACGGCTGAGGACCCTGTCAACCACAGTGGGTGGGGAGACCTCGGTTGAGGAAGAAGGTGCACATTTATGAGGCAGCCCTTTGGAAGGTGGCATCATCAGAACAGACACAACAGAGATGGAGAAAGTGGGAGAATGGAGTGTTGTCCTTACAGGCGGCAGAGGGTGAGGAAGTGTAGTCAAGGTAATTGTGGAAGTCTGTGGGTTTATAATGGGAGCTAGAAAAGCAGGGACTGTTCTCCTTGGAGTACGTTGAGAGATTATCTAATAGAGGCTTCCAAACTGAAAGAGTAAGTAGAGAGAAAAAAAATCAAGACCGATGTTTCTTTTGGTATATCAGTCAAGAACTGTCATCAATCTATCATGTTGACTGAGTGGCAGGTTGGAAAATGTACAGGGAAGTAACCTGGGTTTAACTTCTACTAATATAGTAAAGTGCATAAAACTTAGCAAGATGAAAAAAGGTCTTTAGTTATCAATAAACAAGTAGGTTAGTGATGCTGGTGCCCATCATAGTCATGGAGATGGGGAATGAAATCCTAAACAAACTTAACTTTTTGTGATGTGTAATCACGTGTAATCAAGTATGTTTCAATTTAATATTTTATTTTTCAAGCCAGTACTAGTTACCTGAATGCCATATGCACAAACATTTCTCATTTGTTAATATGCATGCTAACATTGTTCTAAATTATACTCAAAAGTCCAAGATATATTTTCTGATTTTTTTGCCATTTTTGTGTTGAACTAATGGCTTTCTGAAACAAACCTGATCAATTACTAATTGTTTTGAACCACTTTTACACTTCTATTTTAACCATTTATTCCAGGCTACAAGGATCATTGAGCAGTGTTACAAGCTCATGGCAATGACAGAAAATTGATATTGCACTGAATAATAATATGCATAGTAAAAATTGAATTTATAAAAATGGACTGTAACACCTGTGGAAATTTTGAGCCCTCCAGTTATTTAGCTTATGTGATCCTTGGCTTGGATTGTATTTTGCCACTGTAGTTCACTAAATGGGCAGAAGTCTTTGGATTTATCTAGACTTTAATAGCCTGCTTGTTTACTCATTGCCCAGCACTGTAGTGCCCAATCCCATCCTTCATATATACAGCTAATTACTAATGTTGAACCCAAAGAATCAAAATCAAAACTAGCTGTTTCAGTCTGCCATTTCACCTTGTCAGGTGGAGCATTCATAAACACACAGGAAAAATTAAAAAGAGAAAGCAACAACTTCTGTGTTACTTTAAATTGGATTTATTCTTGTTCCCTTCCAGGGCATCATCTTTGAAAGAGTTTTGATTTTGTGACGATTTATCTCCACAATCATTTGAAAAAGGACCATGAATCTCCGAGACTCTCAAAAGGAAGATCTTCCATTTCAAAACATGTGAATTCTGTTTTATCAATTTTTTTTTGTTGAACGCATTAATGATGTACCAATACTTTCATCTTATATGCCAGAGAATTTTACTTTGCTACATCTTTTGCTTTACCTGCTTGGGAATTTTTAAAAAGTGCAAAGAGATGCAACTTCTAATGAGCATTTCATTCATTGTCACAGAATCTATCAACACATCTATGTCATGCACTGTAGCTTAATGTTTTAAGCTAGTATCATTAACTGAATATGAACACATGCAGTTAAATGTTGCCAATAAATCCATTGAAAGACAAATCACTTGTACAGCGTTTTCTATGATCACTTCTACAAATTAAGCAAGAAGGAAAAAAATTACACCTTCTAAACTAATTTCTGAAGTGTCACAATCAATTATATGAATTTACATTGAAATATTCCAACACGCATTATTTCTGAAGTTTATCCTGGATTGTAATCAATCATTTAATATGCACAGGTTTTTTTTCAAAACATAGATTCCGAAGCTAAATCCCTGATGAGATTTATAATTTGTCACATTCTTCATTATGTCTACTTGTTAAGCAACTGTTAAGGCTTTTGAACCATATTTTTTATAATCTATGAATGGATTATTCTCTGTTTAGGCTACGATGAAAAATAATTAGCGCACAATCCAATGCTGGCACATTCCATAATAGATTCTAAAACTGTCATGTTGGCCCAAGAAAACTCAATACACATACATTACTTTTTTTAATGCTAATATTAGACAATTTTGAATATAGCTCAAGCTAACCAGATGAAAGTGTTTGTTAGCGCTGGCTGTGTAAATGCCCCAATCTAAACGAGTTTGGATGTGCCAGCAGTAAAGTTGGAATTGCTATTCTGAAACCCCTGGAATGACAGGGGTGGGGATTGGAAATCATTCATGGGATGTGAGCATCACTGGGTAGGCCAGAATTTATTGCCTATCCCTAATTGCCCTCAAGAAGGTGGTGGTGCCATCTTGAACTGATGAAATTTCATAGATGTACGAACACCCACAATGCTGTCAGAAAGGGGGTTCCAGGGTCTTTACCCAGTCACAGTGAGGGAACAGCAATATATTTCCAAGACAACATGGTGTATGGCTTGGTGGAGTACTTCCAGGTAGTGGTGTTTCCATGCATTTACTGCCCTTTCCTTCTAGATGATGGAAACCATCACTTTGAAATATTCTGTTGAATGAACCTTGGTGAGTTACTGTGGTACACCTTATAGATGGTACACGCTGCTGCCACTATATCTCAGTGGTAGAGGAAGTAACTGTTGGAGAGAATGGACGTGATGCCAATCAAGTGGTCTGCTTTGCCCTGTATTGTGAAATAGCTCCACAGAGGCTGGTATCCTGTCACCAAGTCAGCTTTTTTTATTTACATGTGGAGAGTCCTTGATGCTGATCCAACTTCCTCAGACCCAGCTCTCAGAGTGAACAGAATCTCTGACACTTCTGACTATATCTGTCAGCCCCCAGCTCCCTGATTGGTTCAGATTAACAGCCCCAACCAGAGAACTTGTTCTATGAGGTCCAACCTGGCTGACAATCACTGCATCCCTCCCTCTCTCAGTCTGGGGCATTTTAGCACTGGGTCAGGTTGCTTCACCTCTGCCTCTGATATGGGTGGCGTATCACACACACTAGCTTGCCTCATCCACCTGGAGCGTCCTGGAAAAAATTCATTCTCCTCTTCAGGCGGCAATGGCAGTGAGGCAACAACATCCAATGTAGCCGTCCCAGATTCCAAGGTATCCACAATGCTTGATGGAGAGGTAGAACCCGTGGGTTCTGGAACAGTTGGAAAGACAGTTGAGGAGCTGGGCACATTTTGCTCCCACACAGTTTGCGAGCTGGTAGCTTTCATATGGTCCACATGTTTGTTCAGGACTGTCGTACCTACCCGAACTTTATACATCACTGGCCCTAACCTCATGTCGACCATGCCTCTCGCCCTTTCAGGGCCATTTCCATGGTTCCAACATCAAATTTTGTCTCCTGAAGTCATCTGTCTCTCTCATTTAGCGGAGTCTTGTGTCAGGCATTGGCGTTCCTGATGCCTGATGCAACACCTTGCATTTAGTCTAAATTAAGCTCCATCTGCCATTCCTCAGGCTACTGGCTGAGTTGATCAAGATCTCATACTCTCAGGTAACCTTCTTCACTGTTCACTATACCATCAATGTCATCAGCAAACTTACTACAAATGCCTCTTATATTCTCATTCAAATTGTTTATATAGATTACCAACAACAATGGACCTAGCACCGATCCTTGAGGCACACTGCTGGTCACAGGTCTCCAGTCTATACAACAACCCTTTACCACCACCCTCTGTCTTCTACTGTCAAGCCAATTTTGTATCCATTTGGTTAGCTATCCCTGGATCTCCTGTGATCTAACCTTACTGACTAGTCTAGCACGGAGAATGTTGTCGAAGGCCTTGCTAAAGTCCGTGTAGACAACATCTACTGCTCTGCCTTCATCTATCTTCTTGGTTACGTTTTCAAAAAACTCAATCACGTTTATGAGACGTGATTTGCTGTGCACAAAGCCAAGCTGACTATTCCTATGCAGTCCTTGCCTTTCCAAATCATGTAGATCCTGTGTCTCAGAACCCCCTCCAATAATTTACCCACCACTGACATTGGGCCCACTGGTCTGTGGTTTCCTGGCTTTTGCTTGCAGCCTTTATTAAATAATGGCACAACATTAGCCACCCTCCAGTCTTCTGGCACCTTAATTGTGGCCATCAATAATACAAATATCTCTGCTAGGGACCCTGCAATTTCTTCCGTAGCTTCCCATAGTGTACTGGGATACACCTGAAAAGGTCCCGGAGATTTATGCCCCTTTATGAATTTTAAAACCTCCAGCACCTCCTCTTCTGTAATGTGGACATTTTTCAAGACATCACTATTTATTTCCCTGAGTTCTCTAGCTTCCATGTCTTTCCCCACAGTAAATATTCATGAGAAATATTCATTTAGAATCTCACCCATCTTGCCCACACACAGATGACCTCATTGGTCTTTAAGTGGCCCTATTGTCTCCCTAGTTATTTTGTCCTTAATATAGTTTAGAATCTCTTTGGATTCTCCTTTACCTTACCTACCAAAGATATCTCATGTCCCCCTATAGCCCTCCTGATTTCCTTGTTAAGTGAACTTCTACACCCCCTATACTCGTCAAGTCACTCAATCTCAGCTGCCTATACCTGACATATGACTCTATCTTTTTCTTGACCAGAATCTCAATGTCTCTAGTGTTACAGTGTTCTCACCTGCTGCCAGCCTTGCCCTTCTTACTAACAGGAGTGTGCTGGCCCTGAGCTCTCATTATCTCGCTTTTGAAAGCTTTCCACTTGCCAAATGTCCTTTTATCTGCGAACAGCCTCCCCCCATCAACTTTTGAAAGTTCATGTCTAATACCATCAAATTTGACCTTACAGCAATTTAGAACTTTAACTTGTGGACCAGACCTGTGTTTTTCCATAATTATTTTCAAACTCATATAATTATGGTCAATAGTTCCAAAGTGCTCCCCTGCTAACACTTCAGTCACTTGTTCTGCCTTATTTCCCAAGAGGAGGTCGATATTTTCCCCTTCTCTAGTAGGGTCATCTACATATTGATGGAGAAAGTTTTCCTGAACACACTTAACAAATTCCTCCTCATCCAAGCCCTTGAAATGGTTATTACCCATCATTTGTGTGGCACAAGCATCGTTTGCAATTTATTAGAGCAAACCTGGATGTTATCCCATGTCTATTTGCAACCTTGGGGTACAATGCAATAGATGGTATCTTTGAAATGGGAGTTCTTGATACTGAAACTTGCACGAATGTTGAAGTATTCCAATCCATAACACAATAAAACATCGCTAATCAGAAAAAAAGAAAGATTGAACCAATTCTACAGTACAAATTAAAGCAATTTAGAAAATTTCACAGACTGTCCGTTAAGGTATTTCAGGCAATAATCAAAATGATAATATTTAATAATTAAGATTTTTCTTTCTTTGTAAAATGCTTTCCTACCTTGCTTTCACATCTCCAATCCATTATCACCTAAAACAAAAATGCGTTTGTATGGTTTTAAACATTTAGCTTTGAATTTGTGAACACAATGTGACGTAAGAGGCAATTTAACAGTCATGTGCTATTTTGAGATAATTTATAGAAACTTGAAGCAGTTTAACAGAAGAAAAAGTGTGTCATAAGGTAGATCATGAAATGAGAAAAAATGGATGTTTGCAAATCTCCAGATCGAGGTGGCATAATTAAATGAGAATTGGGGTATATTCACTAATGCCACATATTTGATTCTCATCTTTTGGCTGCTGCTAATATGCATGAAATGTTTTTAATTTGTGAGTTATGTTGTGTCAAATTGATAGTTATCAAGTTTATTACAATTTTCTGTAAAAAGTTCCTTATTAAGTTAGAACCGGTTATTGAAGATGTCCACCCAGCATGTAACTGAAAGGAAGCCTTCTGCTCTGTACATTAAAGTGATATGAAACCACAAAATACACAACAAATATTAAACTTAAAGCCAAAAGTAATATTTTTTACTTGGTTATTTCTGACACTTTTAATCTTCATTTGACGATATCTTTTGCACTGAACACAGCCAGCTGAGGTTGTAGAGCTGTAAAATTCAACTATCCAAGTCTAATTGAATACAGCAGAGCATTACGAATTGACCATAACCATTTAAGAGGTGAAACTAAACAAAAAACTGAAAGAACTGCAGATGCTGGAAATCAGAAACAAAAACAGAAATTGCTGGAAAAACTCAGCAGGTCTGGCAGCATTTGTGGAGAGAAATCAGTTAATGTTTTGGGTCCAGTGACGCTTCTTCAGAATTGCTAGTTTTGAACCCAATTCTGAAGAAGAGTCATTGGACCTGAAATATTAAATATTTCTCTCCACAGATTCTGCCAGACCTGCTGAGTTTTTCCAGCAATTTCTGTTTTTGTTTGTCATTAATGGGGTGAGTTGGCTTTGATTTCTTTGGATGTCAAAAGTTGTGAACAACATCCCTTCTGATTATCTTAGCACTGATAAAATTGTTTAACAACACATTATTTTAGTTGCACTGAGATGGCTTGGATGGCTAGTTCACAATGTAGAGTGGTGCCTACCGTGGGTTCAATTCCTGCGCTGGCTAAGGTTACTGTCCTTCTTCAACCTCTTCCATCACCTGATTGTGGTGACCTTCAGATTAAACC